CAGTATAGAGATTCCTCAGAAAACTTGGAATGGAACCACCATTTGACCTAGTTATTCCACTCCTCAGTATATATCCAAAGGATTTAAATCAGCATACTACAGTGACACGGTCACATCACTGTTTATAGCAGCTCAGTTCACAATAGCTAAGCTATGGAGCCAACCTAGGTACCCTTCAACAGATGAATAGATAAAGAAAACATGGTTTATATACACAATGGAGTATTATTCAGCCATGAAGAATGACTTTGATATTTGTTAGTAAATGGATAAATCTGGAGATTATTTCATGCTAAGTGAAATAAGCCAGACCCAAAAGGCCAAAGTTCAAATGTTTTCTATGATATGTGGAAGCTAATCCACAATAATAGGGAGAGAGAAGAGAAAAAGATCAGTGGAGTAGACAAAGGGGAATGAACGACAAGGAGAGAGGACTGGATAAGAAAAGACAGTGGAATGAATCTGACATAACTTGCCTATGTACATTTTTAAAATACCACAGTGAATCTCACCATTGTGTACATCCATAAGGAATTAATTTTAAAAAATAACTATGGGTAAATGGCAGAAATGTCCGAAGAGGAGAGGGAAGGAAGCAGAGGCTGGGGAGAAGGGAGAGAAAAGGGAAGTACTGGGAACTGAATTAAAATAAGATATATTCCATGCTTTAATAATCATATCAAAATGGATTCTACTGTCATGTATATCTAAAAAGAGCCAAGAAAAAAACAGAGTTGTCTCTACTCACTGTTTTCACGTCTTCTCTCTCTTTTCTCTCCCCAAACTTCCTTGGCCAAGTATTTGTTCTCATAAGTTCTATAAAGAGTTCCAACAAGTCAGTGGTTACCTCACTGTTACCAAATGCAACAGTCATTTCTCAAGCCCTACCTTAATTTATCAGCAATATTTTGCACAATTGATAAGTTCTTCCTTTTTGAAGTAGTTTTTACATTTGCATCATAGTCTTGTGTTTTCTCCTTTACACCTGGCCACTCATTCTGTTCCATATGGGTTATTTTCTCCTTTTATTTTTAAAATAATATTGAAGTTTCCAGTGTCCAGTTCAAGATCTTGTTCTTCTCACTGTATATGCACTCAGTAGGTGATCTCTTTTATTACTAGTGGTTAAGGACTGCCAAATTTATATCTATATTGTTTATCTTTCCTGTAAACTCCAGGTATATGTATCCAATTGCTAAATCAATGCCTCTATTTTCTCAATGTTTAGTGGATATTTTTATACTTGATAAAAATAAAATAGAATTCTTGATTCCCCATCTCCATCTCTAGCCCTCCTAGTAAATAGCACTACCATCCACCCACAGAGTCTAGCAAATAATTAGGAGTTGTCATTCACGCCTATCTATTCCCCAAAAGTTAGTTAGTTTATAACTCCTATTCAGATTCCTTCTCCTTCCTTCTTTTCATGATTTGATGGGAAGGACTTGCAGAAAAACAGAGAGTAGGGAGAATACATTTGAGGGATTTATTTTCCTGATCTCTTCCTTATGGGGACATGAAGGGATGGCTAATTTCATGACCGATTCTTCCCAATTCCCTGCCTCATATTTTTCATAACTAATTTCTTTTGGCCATACATTTAGGGTTAAGGGTATAATGCCTTTCTGTTCACAATAACATGTAAGTCCAAATCTTTACCTTGTGATTTCCCTACAGTCTGCTCTCACCTTTGTGGAAGCCCACTGGTTGAACTGCTTCAAATTACCCAACTGGTTTGTGTTTCTTGTCTGTAGGCTAACTAATTCACCTGAAACTCATATTCAACCCATCAGCAAATGCTATTGTTTCCACTTTCAAAATATATTCCAAAACTAATTTTCACCACCTGCACCATTTCAAACCAAATTTAAACTCTTTCTCATTTGAGTTAGAGCAATAGTTTAGTACTCCTGCACTCTCTTCCCACCCCATGCTATTCTCCAAACAGCAACCACTGTCATCCTTTTAAAATGTAAGGCACATAATGCATTCCCCTGTTCACAGGCTTCCAAAGGTTTCCTAGCATGCTTAGAATAAAATAAATTCCAAATTCCTACGATAACCAACAAGACTCTGTTTAGTTGGCTGTGGCTTTTTCTAATCCCATTGCCTGCCACTCTCCACAGTGCTTACTTGGAATGCTGCAATGCAGCCTCTCTGAAGTCCTACCAACACTCATATTATACTACTATTTCAAAAATTTTGCACTCAATGCCACTTTATAGGGAATACTCTTGTCTTAGATATTTGATGATCCAGCTCTTTTAACTTAGCCCACTACTTAAATGTTACACTACAGAGCAGACTTTCCCTAAGTGTACTGCCTAAAATAACAACCTATACCCTATATCCACCTATTTTTCTCCATAATATTATATCTGCTTAATCTAGTCTATTAATTTGTCTATTATCTCTTCTCTCCACTATGTTATATATTCCATGAGTGTTCGGGGTGATGCTTTCACTCACCACTGTATTATCAATATTTTAAAAAGTACATGACACATAGAAGCCCTAAATAAATTGTGTGGTGAATGAATGAATGACTCAGTGGGAATGGAAATACACCATATTGCTCAGTTAGATATAAAGCCAAATTTCAATGAATAGCCAATTCATAGTCAAAGCTTGTTTCATGCACAAGCTTTTAAAAGGTATATTGATACCATAGTATCTGATTCATCCTCTAACACACTGAAACTGAATTTGCAATGTGATAAGACATATTCAAAGCCAATTAATAAGGTTTCCTCTGCTGCACATTATCACTATAAGCATATTAGAACTTGATACACTAAGTTTCCTAGTTTTTGTGATCCACAGCTGAGCAGAACCCTGTGTTAATGAACAATATCTATTTTTAAAAATTATTGTGCAATATATAATACATATAAAGAGAATATAAATGTATATGCCTTGCAACAGATAATAAAATAACAATACATTATAGGAAGGTATAAATATTACCAAGAATTTTTGAAGTTTCTTTTCTAGATTTCAAACTCTTCCTCCCCTATAAGGATTATTCTAAATTGTGAGTCAATTATTTCCTTGCCTGTTCAAATAGTTTTATTTCATAAGAAAACCTTACAGACTTAAATAAAAATAAAATTATAGACTATCCTGTCATTGTGTTATCACTCATCATTGTGTTTTTAAGATTCATCCATGTTGATGTATTCAAATTTAAAACAATCATTCTCACTTCTGCACATTATTAATTATAGGAATATATGCTAATTCATTTATCCACATTACTCATGTTGGGCTTTCACGTAGTTCTCAGGCTACTGTGCAATTCTTTACAAGTTGCCATGAATATTCTTTCATGTATCTTTCCATTAATATTAGCCTTGAAGCCATCTTTTTTCTTCACAAGACTTTACACTATATATTTAATAAATTTTGCATTTTATCTTGCAATTACTTTAAGGAAAACCTTATTTTCCTCATTCTGGCATTCTTAGTCAGCAGTTTACTGTAGGCCTTAGAAAATGTACTCACATCACATTAGATAATTCAGAGAAGCTCTGAAGTCAATGCAGCAATGCCAATTAGCTGCCTCCCCAAAACTGTTTTCCTAAAGGGCCCCAAAGAAGTCTCTAAGATATTTTAAGAGATACAGCCCATATTTAGGTAGCACTATAACATCACAGAATTTTTTTCATAAAATTAAGTTGGCATTCCCTAATTATCTTTGATTGATTTAACTCCAAATAAATATATGGAGTCTCTGATCAAAAAAGAAAAAAAGGGCATACTTATATATTAAATTGTTAAAATAGTCATTCATTTCAATGTCCACTTTAAATTGACCAGCTGAGGGCTGCGGTTGTGGCTCAGTGGTAGAGTACTCGCCTGGCACATGTGAAGCACTGGGTTCAACTCTCAGCATCACATAAAAATAAATCAAAAAAATAAAGGTATTGTGTGTGTGTGCATGTGTGTGTGTATATATCTCTCTCTCTCTAGAGACCATCTTATTTCAGCCTTGATTACAGTGAGGGAGTAAATTTCTCACAAAGGGAAACTGTCAGATTTAATAAAAAATTCTGGGCACCAAGTGTAATTTCAATTTCAGATAAATAATGAATAAAATTTTAGAGGAAGTATGTCTATTGTGATATTTCACATCTACTGATACTAGAAGAAAAGCATTTATTATTTACCTGAAATGCAATTAACTGGGCATCCTGTATTTTATTTGATAGTCATATATCAATTCTGGCAGTTAAGTCTTCGAGGTTTCCCTCAAGCTATTTGAATTTTTGAATTGTTTAAGATATTCCCCTGCCTCTTTGGTACCAGGGGATTGAATCTAAGGGCGACCAACCACTGAGCTATGACCTCCAGCTCTTCTTATCTTCATTTTGAACCAGGATCTTGATAAATTGCAGAGGCCGGCTTTGAACTTGAGATCCTCCTGCCTCAGCTGCCCGAGCCCCGGGGATTAAAAGCTTGCGCCACTGCCTAGTTCTTAAAATATTTCTTTTATGTAAGGAAGTCACTAGCCATGTGGCATTTAGCTAACCTTTTTCAGTCCTTCCCTTTATCTTCATTTCACACAGCACATGATCTTCAAACGCAAGCAATGACACGCTCAGGCAAACATTTTTGCTTAAGGAAGATCACTTTCGCTGATAGTTCTGCAGCTGAGTAGAAAATAACAGGTTGCCGGCTACCACCTTGTGGGCCTGGAAGAAAAGATACCGCGAGAGATTATAAGGTACAAAGCCTTCTGAACTTCATCGGCCACCATCCTGTAACTGCCTCAGGCAGATATTTCCGGTTTTCCTTCAGCCTAGCGGTTGGAATTTTGTTGCCGCTAGGCTTTCCGTTCCGTTTAGGGTTTCCTGCCTCCTTCCCTTATGCCCTAGCAGTCCGCTTTTCCTCATTCCAGCCAACCACTAGAAACATCCTTCAAAATATCTGATCCCAAGAGCCGCCCAACTGCCTCACCAAACTTAGAAAATAGAAGCCCGTTTGGTATCTCTGAGGAGATGTCTGGCTCAGAGGCGGGGAGAGATACCTGTTCAGAGGTCGAAAAGGAGGCCCCAAAATTGATGGCGGAATTGACTGGAGATGGCGATGTCCTTACCCATGTCCGCACAGGTGAAGGAGCAGACCCAGAAAGTTCAAGCGACACTGTCGATTTTCACACTGAGGAGGACTTTCACCATTTTGTCAGCAGTGAGGAAAGCCTGTACCATCACCACCTAGAGGAAGAGGAGGAGACCGAGGAGGAAGATGAAGAACGACAACAGCTTCAGGTATGTGCGCAGTACCGGGAGAACAACCATGAGGATGAGGATCAGGCCCTGGAGCAATGGGTGACTTCAGAGACATCTGCCCTCCCGCGACCTCACTGGCAAGTCCTTACTGCACTCAGGGAGCGGCAGCTGGGTTCCAGTGCTCGTTTTATATGTGAGGCCTGTGGGTCAAGAATCTTTGTGCAGCGTTTCAGCTTCCAATATGGCCTTGAGGGCCATTTAAGTTGTGTGAACACTGTGCATTTTAATCAACGTGGCACCTGGTTGGCTACTGGTAGTGATGACCTACGGGTGATCGTGTGGGATTGGATAGGGAAGCGGCCAGTACTGGACTTTGAGAGTGGCCACAAAAGTAATGTCTTCCAGGCTAATTTCCTTCCTAATTGTGGTGATTCCATCCTCGCTACGTGTTCCCGTGATGGCCAGGTACGGGTGGCAGAACTATTGGCTCCAACATGTGGGAAGAACAGTAAGTGTGTGGCCAAACATAAGGGAGCTTGTCACAAGTTGGCCCTGGAGCCAGACTCCCCTTTTAAGTTCTTAAGTTCAGGTGAAGATGCCATTGTTTATACCATTGATCTCAGACAAGGGCAGCCAGCTTCAAAAGTGGTGGTAACAAAAGAGAAGGAGAAGAAAGTGGGACTATATTCAATCTCTGTGAATCCCAGCAATACCTACCAGTTTGCAGTGGGTGGACGAGATCAGTTTGTAAGGATTTATGACCAAAGAAAAATTGATGAGAATGAGAACAATGGAGTACTTAAGAAATTCGTTCCTCATCACATGCTCACCTGTGATTTCAAAACAAGTATCACCAGTCTTGTGTACAACCATGATGGCACAGAGCTCCTAGCCAGCTACAGTGATGAAGATATTTACCTCTTCAACTCCTCTGACAGTGATGGAGCTCACTATGTTAAGAGATATAAGGGCCACAGAAATGATGCCACAGTGAAAGGTGTCAATTTCTATGGCCCCAGAAGTGAGTTTGTGATGAGCGGTAGTGATTGTGGACACATCTTTCTCTGGGAGAAAACATCTTGCCGGATCATTCAGTTCATGGTGGGAGACAAGAAAGGTACGGTCAATTATCTTGAAGCCCATCCTCACCTACCTGTGATGGCAACTTGTGGCCTGGACCACGATGCCAAGATCTGGGCACCCACAGCTGCAGCCTCCACTGAGCTTACTGGGTTAAAGAATGTGCTTAAGCAGAACAAGCAGAAAAGAGATATAGATAACTTGTACAATCCTGACATGTTTGACAGTCACAAGCTTTGGTTCCTCACAAGTCACCTTACACAGAGAAATCATTACCAGCACTGGGGAGGTCCTGGCCTTCAGGGCATGAGTGCAGACTTACTTGAGTCTTCCAGCACCTCAGATACATCTGAGGAAGAAGAAAGCCAAGACTGAATGCAGTGCTTGTCATCCTGAGGGATTCATCCCCCTTCAAGCTAGATGCCACCTCAGTGGACTTCAGAATTTAGTTTAAATATAGATTTACCTTTTGTCGGTTCTGTTTTCTGTAGGATATACTAAGAAACATTTTTATTATTTCCTTCCTCTTTCCTTTCTCTTTCCTCCTCCTGCTTCTTTTATGCTCTCTTTACTCATGATCCTTATGTGAATATATAAGTAAATTGGTTACGCCTCTCTTTCTTCCATTTTAGTTCACCTCTAAAATTTCCTAATTCTGGTATCTACCTTCTCATTTCTGATACTATAGAAATTGCCAATTTAAAATATTTAGTAATTTAATGCTGATTAAATTTAAGTTCTTCATTTGACCCAAAAATTTCAGAAATATGTTTGCGCTTAAGAAATAAAGTTAGATAAACAGTGTTTTTCTTCCTTGAATGCTGACCCTTGACCATACATATACCAAACACAATTTGTGTGTGTGTGTGTATTATAGAAAAGGAAATGAGAAGAAAAGGTGGGTAGGTAACTTCCTAACCATATAATTCACCCCCTTAGAATAAATAACTTGGTGTTATCCACATTTTCTGAATACATATATTAGTAATATTGAATAATTTGATAAATTTGGTAAAAACTAAATTAAACTTAACCCATATGATATTGTTTATATACTGCTCTTTCAATTTTCTTTGTTTTTTGTTGTTGTTGTTTTTTTTTTTTTTTTTTTTTGAAATCTCACAGGATCACCTTCCAGTGAGAACTCCTGGGACAACCATCTTCTATAACATGCTAACTAGGAATGTAAGAATTCCTCATAGTTGACATACCATTTAAGTTAACTTACTAATAGCATTGTTGCCATAAAAGATTTTTTTATACTTATAAACATTTGATGTGACCATTAGAAAAATCCTATTAGACATTTGTGCACTGTTTAAAATTCTTGCAGAGATTAAAGTATTTAAAAGGTATTTTAGCCACATTTAAAGTAAATTTTGAATGTCTAATTACTATTCAACAATATACTTTAAAAAAAAATTTTTAGTTGTCAATTTTTCCTTTATTTTACTTATTTATATGCCATGCTGAGAATTGAACCCAGTGCCTCAAACATGCTAGGCAAGTGCTCTACCACTGAGCTACAATTCCAGCCCAATAATATCCATTTTTTTACAAATATTTTTAGTTGTAGATGAGTATGACACATTTATTTATTTATTTATTTATTTATTTATTTTTATATGGTGCTGAGGATCAAACCCAGTGCCTCACACCTGCCAGGCGAGTGTTCTACCACTGAGCTACAACCCCAACCCCAATAATATCCATTTTTGTTTTACATTTTTTTGTATAACTAAATGCATATCATTTTCCTCCAAATACAAACTAAATAACACATCCTTGTTTTCAGACTTTTGTTTAGGGAAAAAAAAATTATGTAATGAAACATCCCGTGACCTGACAATAGCTTTCCTCTGGTTATACTTCCTGAAATTGGTATTATCACTCCTGTTTGAGGTCCAAATAGATAAATTTGCATAGTGCGATTAGATTTTGGAATGGATGATATCTTGAGCAAAGTTCCTGTTCACCAAGATTCAAAGTTAGGGACCTGGGGATTCAGCAAGCAGAGAAGCCCCTATCTGTCTGCTGTTAGGAAAGGACCTTAATAGTCAACAAAAGGGCACTTACTTAGATAACCCAGTGATTCTGAGCATTGCGTTTTAAAACAGGACATAAAGAGAATTATAAACTATGATCTCAACTTTTGGGCACCCTGTGTAACTGGATGGGATGTATATTAGCAATATTAACAAAACATTGAAAAAGCATCATTTGGGATTTCAAGTGACACTGAGTGTCAGAACAATGGCAAAAAGCACATTAGTTAGGTAGGTCTTTTTCCACCTGCTGTTTGTGAACAGCTCTTCCTCTGTGGGGAATTCATGCCCTATCAATTTAGCTAAGCTAAAACTGTTCAGGGTTCCCTGCTTGTATCTCTGGATTGCTTGTGCTATGATGCATTTGGCAAAAGATTTGGAAGGCAAAGGTAACATAGTAGCCATATTTGTTTTATGCTCAGACAGTAGGAACCAGGGCATCAGGTGTTGCTGCAGCTCATGCACATTTTGCTTATATGCTGGCTTACCTTGTTGGTATGGAGTAGCATCTGGGCCTAAACTACTGTAGCTTCCCCTCATATCCTCCTTTAACGTCACCAGCTCCATGAAAAAGAGTGCCTGCTTTTCAGGCTGGAGAGTCATATCAACAGAGCTGGAGGTCAGGAGGCACTTTAAGATCAACATGGATTCCAGTCTGTCTTTGTTGTCCCAGATAATACTCATGGATTCCATTTATCTTTGCTTCCTCCACTTTATATCCATCTCTCCATCCTCATTTCCCTACTGATTTCAGGTTCCAACATCTGAACAAAGACAAACACTGTACTAAGAACTGCTTAAGCAGCTTCCACAACTAAATACGATACAGACCCTATTATAATTTTGTAAGTCCCTTGTTAAATATGTATGTTTCTGCTTCTCTGATTGAAATCTGTGTGATAAAACCTCAACTCTACATACTTTGCTATATTTCAAGGTCTTGAATATTTGCCATTTGGAGGAATTAAAGTTCCCTAAAGGATTGTGTGTATACACACACACAAACATACACCCAAGAGGAGGGAATTATATTGAAGGTACAGTTATGATTATAGGTAAAAGGCAAGTTAGTGAAGTAATGGTTACAATTTTTAATTTATGCACATATGGCCTTATAAGTATATAGAATATAACAATACCTGTCATGAGATGGTGGGCAAAACTAACAATTTTCTCAATTCCATAAGCAGGTGAAACTGCACCTTTAGTTTTAATTTTTCAACACTAATTATTTTCATTCCAACACGAAATGTCTATAGGACAGGTCTGTGTAGGCCCTCATGGCCTTTATGCAATATTATAATTGTCTCCTAATTATGCACAGAATTTAACCACATAAAGTTGTAATAGATGCCAAACTATTATTTTAAAAAGACATCTGTTGGCAGCCATTCCTTTAAAAGACAGGTGTAGAAAAGAATAGAAATGGAAAAAATATAATGGAGCATAATTACTGAAGGGCAGACCTAAAATTTTTTGGAGAGTTTGAATAATCCAGCAGAAACCTTCATCACTGCTAATTCTAAAATCAATGAACCAAATAAGAATGCAGTGAATCCACAGTGGATTTGATATTAGATATCCTGTGATCAACTCCTATGAACTTCACTATCTTAATTTGTCTCAACTTCAATCTCAAAAGTAAAACGTGAGGCTTGAAATTTTCAGATTTAGTTCTCATGTCCTTATGGAGCATTTAATATGTATTTGTTTGCTGGTTAGTGAGAGATCAGAGAAAAACTTTCTTTGAAAGTTTTCATTAAAAGGGGGTTTGGAAGGTCCCTATCATGCTGCTTCATTCAGAATACAACATGTATTATTTCTTCCAAGTTTTAGCAGTCTCTGTTTCTAGCACCATTATATAGACAATCGTGTATGGAAATTAAAGACACATACTGTCAAAAGAATATTCAAGTGTAATTTCTCAGTGGTTCTTTATAAAAACCATGTTAAAATTGAGGAAAGGAAACTTAAGTTTAGCGAAGTTAAATGTATTCTCCAAAATCATCAGCTAAGAAGGTGGAAAGAAGGGGCTCAAATAGAATTTTACAACTAAATTAATCCATAGAATAGTGGTACACTCATCATTGTTTTAGTTCATGACAATCTAATTTAGTCAAGGATAGAAATTGAGAGCCTAATGGCTCAGAGTCTCTTATGACATTTAAAAATTATTTTCCATCTATTAAGGTGGCCATAATCTCACCTTAGACTTCTGTCAGCTATATGAGAAAGCAGAAATGGCAGCCATATTTAAAATGCAAGCCTCTTGAATTGAAATGGAGGTCACTGAAAAAAAATCAAGCAAATCAATAACAAAGTCTAAAAGAAAACAAATTAAAAATATAAAAACTACATATTGGGATAGGGACAGTATTTCAATTCTCAGCTACATAATAAATCTGGAGGACATCTGAAAAGCTTGTTCTTACAAAGCTCTCTCTAGAATCAAATTCAAATAACAACTCATACTGGTTGACTGGCTGTATGGATTATTCCGCTAAAAAACTGTAATGGGCCAGATAATCTAAGGGCTATCTTCCTCATTTGACAGGTATGACCACCACTATGAGGGACTAAGATCCATGAGAAATGAATAAGGGCATTTGTAAAACTTTTAAAAATATGAAAATAAATAAAAATTAACATCATCATATAAACCAAATATTTGAGGAGGGAAGATTTTTTTTTCCACATGATTTCTCATAGTACTCCCTCTCAACAAAAAATCCCTATGAAAATTTAAGCATTATGTCACCTTGTGCTTCCATATCTCTGTCACTTTGACTTGACTCTCTTGCTTCCCCTCTTATAAGATCCTTTTGATGACATTGGGTCTACCCAGATAATCCTGGGTAATCTCCATATCCTAAGATCTTTAAATTTCATTACATTTGCTAAGTCAAATTCTCACAGGTTCTGGGGCCACTTCAGGAAATTAAGAAAGAACAACTGTATCTCAAATGATTAAATTTTAATATATGCTAACTAAAAAAATTTCAAATAGAATGTTAGAGAATCTTGGAATGGAATATGGACAATGATAAATGGATCAAACTATATTACAAATGTATGACAAAACCTTACTGAAGCAAGTAGGAGAAAAAGTAACTGACTTAAATAACTAAAGTGTTGTTTTAAAGGGCAATAATAAAACTAGAGCAAATGGGGCTGGGATTGTGGCTCAACGGTAGAGAGCTCACCTAGCATGTGCGTAGTCCTGGGTTCGATCCTCAGCACCACATAAAAATAAATAAATAAATAAATAAATAGTGTCCAATGACAACTAAAAAATAAATATTAAAAATTAGAAAAAAAACACTAGAGAGA